CTGAGGAGGTCGGCCCGGCGTCTAAGACTAGGTTTCAGACTCTTAGATTCTACCCGGGAAAGACTCAATTCCTTTTGTGTGGGACTTCACATGTCCCCAGGTAAGGATTATAGGTCATAAAGAGTCAATGTTCACAATTGAAATAGAAGATTGGCGCGAAGTGACCTAAAAGCCTAGTAATTTAATGATCTCAACAGATTTTCAAATATGTACATCGCCGAACTGCGCGATTACTCAACTATATTTATTTTACAATGTTTTATCTATCTGCAGTGTTCTGCATTAAATAGAAAATTCCTTTTAATAATTTTAAATAAATTATAAATTTCTAGGATTTTCAAGATTAAACTTATTTTGGAAATAAATCTAACAATAAAAAGACATTAAACAGAAATAAAAGCATATTGTGACTTGTGATGCAAACTCTGAAAAAGAAGGACGGCTTTAAGAATCTTTAAAAAGTCCAATGAGCGTGAGAGTAATTGTGCAGTGTAAACAGACCCATTTCATTAAAATAGTGATTAAATAAGTCTCTAGTGAAGCTAGTTGGTTCTCAGTGAATTAGAAATAAAAATTGTGAAAAACAGTTTTGTAATCTGTGAATTGCAAAGATGTTGACGCAAGAATTTGCAAAAATAAACATTGTAAAATATTCAGTTTTATTATTGTGACGCAATTTGACTTTTTTTGAACTATTGTAAAAAAAATATTTCATGCAGTAACCTGAAATGTAACAGGATATAGGTAACAGTTCATTTTTAAATCAAGTTTAAATTATTTATCAAAACTTTGAATTCTGAGTCCGTGATTTAAAACATTTGGAGATTTAAGAATCAGGTCTGAATCAGGTCATTAAGATTAATTTAAGACTAAAGCTGAGGGATCTAAGTTGCAACTAAAAGAGTTGATTCTTTGCCACAAACTTTGATATTCTAATCCCTATATCTTTAAAACCCAATGTGGTAAACCTTTGATATTTCAAACTTATATTATTTGACCTAACAGAGCTGAAAACTTTAGAATGGGATATCCTTAATCCTGATCGGATAATTAATCTGGAGATTAAAAATGAGAGAATAACAAGCAATATTTAATCTCGAGATTAAGAAAAAGAGTGGATTAAGCATTAATCCCGATATCCACCATTCAAAAGTTTTCAGCTCTGAACTCATAATTTGAAATATCAAAGGTCTACGTCATTGGAATCTACAGATATAGGTATTAGAAAATCATAATTTGTTGCAAAGTCATTTATCACGAAGTTTGTTTCATTAAACCGGTTCAATATCACTAAAACCAACCAAGGTCGGTTTTATTTTCATTGGGCCTAACTCCTTAAGTCGAGCCGAAGATCTTGCAGCTGTCAATCACGTGACACAAGCCGTAGTCAGAGTTGGGTCTTAAAATCGGGTTTAAGGCTCGAGCGGAAGTTTTAAAATTTTAAAACTCTTACCTTGTCTCTCTATGCTTAGGTCCGAACTCTGGTTTCATAATATAATTGTTTGCTCCTGAAAACAAAGGAACTGAGTTTTTGCCACAAACTCTGATCTTATAAAGATATAAAACCTATATCTTTGCAAACCAATGTCGTAGTCTTGTGATATTTCAAACTATGAATTCTGTTACACACCAAATAATAGAAGTTTGAATGATCAAAGGTTTACACCATCAGGTTGCAAAGATATAGATAAAGAATACATTATTTTTCGAAAATCAGGCAATTTAACTAAAGAAAATTTAGTTATAGGTACAGAACAATTTTCAGTTTAAAGTTATTACAAAAAAATATTCTCAACTTGGCATTAACAAAAGTTAGCCACGACAAATGGATTTTGACCAATGGGAGAATACCTTAATTTTCCTTATTCTAATTCAAATCATCCAATTAAAATAATGGTTTTAAATACGTGTAATTAAGAAATAAAAAAATAAAAAGAATACAGAATTTTTATGACAATTTTTTATAAGTGAGTAAAAATAAATTTTAATTATCTAAGAACTATATTTTTGAAAAGCCCTTGAAAAATGCAGAAACATGAGTCACACTTTGATATTTGTTTAAAACAAAAAAAATGTTTAGTTAAAAAGATAAAATTTCATTATCTAATACTCCAAACCTTTACAGTAACCCCTATCAATGATTGACAAGATATTATTGTTGTTTTAAATATTAAAATTAAAAAGTTGTACAATTTGTTTTGTTTATTATGAGCAAGGAACATATATACAGGAACGCCCAACTCAGATATACGTAAATTGTGTACTGTACACTGTTGGAGGAATGTAAACAAACCCAGTGCTCCCACAGATGTTAAAGGAAAGGACTGCAGCTCTGAGGTGATATTATAGTCCAACAAAAAACAAGGTAATATATTAAGTTAGAGTGAATACATATGATTTTTGGCTTTCTGGTCAAAATAGAAAATAGAATTGCAATAAAGTTTTATTCCACCCCTTGGGCCCTCTTCCCTCAAAAATGATTCTTTTTTTGATCTCCTCCAACTGCAGTACACTGATTTGACGCATGAGGAACGGTCTATATATTTCTTGATTATGGCCTTCTTCCCCCCGTTCATATTTTTTTGTAATTTCAAATAAAAGTTTTTATTTTTAAAATGATTTTCAGTTAGATTCCGAAGAAAAAGATTTGAGCTGAAAACTTTAGAATGGGATAGCCTTAATCCCAATCACTAAATCTAAGTATCCATTCCAATGCACACACTTCTGATTTTCTTTTTAATCCTCTCTTTTGGATAAAAGTTACGTTTGATTACAATTACAGATATGATGTTATATCGATTGGACTAATATCCGACTTAACTATAAAGTCAGCTGTTCACAAGCCGACTTTTAAAGCATTTAAACAAAATGAAAATTTAATCATGTTAATATGAACTTATTATATTATAAAACATATTTTATTACATTTGAGGACTATTTTCATTTTGAACGTTAGTCATAATAAACATTAATTCAGAACTTATGTTCGTTCAATCGATCATTCGTTCAATTGATATGACACCATAAACAACAGAAATGTGCAAAAATTTAAAACCGGGTTTTCAAAAGTTAAAGAGCCTATCTCTAATCTTTAGAAAATAATCTAGAGACTAAATTAGTCTTGAGATTAGCAAAAAGAGAGGATCAAGCATTGATCTCGATATCCACATTCTAAAGTTTTCAGCTCTGAATGAATAATGTAATGATACTGTGTTCTAGACAGAAGGAGACGGTCAAAATGCTGTATTACTAGACTGACTTTTTTACCTCATCCTTCTCTAGTTTTTTTATTTCACGCTTAAATATAAGAAAAGCAAATTAGAATTATCAAGTTACATCTTAACTTTTCAAAAAAAATCTACTTTTATCAATAGGTCGGTCTTCAATAAGAAAAGTTATGGTTTGAAATATACTTTAGTTTGACGTGATGACTGCAGTGTACCTATTAATATACTTTAGTTTGACGAGTTGAATGCAGTGTACCTATTAATTTACTTTAGTTTGACGTGATGAATGCAGTGTACCTATTCATATACTTTAGTTGGACGTGATGACTGCAGTGTACCTATTAATATACTTTAGTTGGACGAGATGAATGCAGTGTACCTATTAATTTACTTTAGTTTGACGTGATGAATGCAGTGTACCTATTAATATACTTTAGTTGGACGTGATGACTGCAGTGTACCTATTAATTTACTTTAGTTTGACGAGATGAATGCAGTGTACCTATTAATTTACTTTAGTTTGACGTGATGAATGCAGTGTACCTATTAATTTACTATAGTTTGACGTGATGACTGCAGTGTACCTATTAAAATACTTTAGTTTGACGAGATGAATGCAGTGTACCTATTAATTTATTTTAGTTTGACGAGATGACTGCAGTTTACCTATTAATATACTTTAGTTTGACGAGATGAATGCAGTGTACCTATTAATATACTTTAGTTTGACGTGATGACTGCAGTGTACCTATTAATATACTTTAGTTTGACGTGATGACTGCAGTGTACCTATTAATATACTATAGTTTGACGTGATGAATGCAGTGTACCTATTAATTGATGCAGCTTGGCGACCTCATCCTCCTCATCCTCTTCTTCCTCTTCATCTTCTTCAATAACATCCTGAGCAGTATTTTAATTAATCAATCTGTGGTCAAAACTTTTGAATTTTAAATCTGTTCATAACAATTTCCCCCCGCGCGCAAGACCTGCCAGTTCGGGCTAGCTAGCTAGCTTATATCTTTGGTTTTTCAAAGCACGCAATTTGTTGCCAGTCATGGGGGGCAAAATCTTGTGAAAATGTTCGTATAGGCAGAATCTCTGCTGTTCCAAAAATATGCTTGCCAGTCGGATCGCTTCACGTTCGAAGGTGCTAAAGCGTCGGGAAACCCGTCGGTCGCAGGGTGCAATTTGAACTGCATTCTTGAAATCATTTATAATTTTTAACTTGTATGTTAAGCGCAATCCAACCAAAAATGTTGAACACCAGGAAACCTTCATTTACATAAAAGTGTACTGCAGTTTATGGGAGTAATGTAAACAAAATCGTTGTTGCTCAGGCATAGCTTTATTTAATATTTTTATTTCTCCCGGAAATTGCGGTACAATTAGTAAACATAGATATTGGTGGTTCTTGTATCTCTAGCTCAGTATTACCTTGAATGCAAGCTGTTTCTTTAAACTGGGTGTAGGACTAGGAGCGGGTTGAGGAACGGGTTCTATCTCTAGGTAGGATCCTGAGCTAGAACGGATACCATTCTCTTTTAGACTTGGATCTAAGACGGATCCGTCCTGTCCATTTTCCAATGCTTTTTCAGAAGAGGCGGTCCGGTCCAACTTTGAGTAGTCATCCACACACCGTACATGGACATAGCCTAGTACATATTCGAAAGTACATAATTTTATGTACATAGCCTTTAATTGTCATATTCATACATATATACAATTGTTCATGTACAAGACACTTCAATAATACATATTCATCAATACTCATGTTCATTTACATAGCCTAGATAAAATCTATATAATAATCATCTTCGCTCATATATTAGGGCGTATGGTAGCTTCAGCTGGCAAAATGGCTGGACCAAATTAGCTGAAATGTTTTGAAGGAACCCTTGGTACCCTGGGGGTAACATATACGCTAAAAACTTTTAATTTTTTCTCAAAATTCGATTGTTTTATTCCACGGGTAACACCGGGCCCTTCATCTAGAAATACATATATATAAATTTGTACCTGGATGGGCTGATTTCTCAATACATACTCTATATGTTGGATTATCCAGATTTGTATATATATGTTCGGCTTCATCTTGTATCCTCTCAAAATTCTAAAGAAAACAAATCTTTGAAACCTGTTCACAATTTGCAGGGATACTGTCCATCTAAAGTAACCAACGAGATTATAGTGTATAGAGTGATGAAGTACGCTAATGCTTTACTAATTGTACAGGCCATGTACTCCACTTCCAAAGGTCAATCTGTATATTACAGTACTCGGGGGTGATTTCTAAAAATATCTAAATGAAGAATTTGTTTTTCATGTAAGTAATAAAATCCACTACTTCTTTATCGTTTAGGATTACATTTTAACAGAAATACCTACTTTACAGTCTTTTACAGAGCAATATTTCCTCGTTAATAAACTGTTCTGAGTAAAAACTGAGTAAAATTCAAGATACAAAACCTCCCCATACACTTGTACTTCGAAAGTCTACTGCATATTTGATGTTTGTACTGTATGATGCCATAATCTCTGAATATCCTATATCAGTAAACTATCCCATGAGTGTACACTCTGACCAATACACAGGGAGAGGTAGCTAAGATCCAGCCCCCTTGAAAGTAACCCATTAAACCCTTCTCTAAGCATACATGACTTAGAATCAGTCAGTAACATTTATTGTTCTGTAAGAGGGAGATTTTTAATTAAAGAACTAGATCAAGAACCAAGATGTCGTATATATCAAGATTTGAAAAATATATATTTTTATTATCGAATATTGAAGACCTAGAAACGTACTGTTCCAATAAAAATCTTTATTGCTTATAAATCTTTTACGTAAATTTAATGTTTTCTTATCAAGTTATTTATTACTAAACGCATGATGATAAAACCTGATAGAATTTTTCCATGTATTCATTTCGCTTAAAATGTTTTGGAATTTTAGAAAATTTTAATCACATTTTTATTCCCCAATGATGAACTTTCTGAAATTAAAACGCATCAGACGCGACTTTTCTTGAATACTTAAATATCCAATTCTCAAGTTTAGATGTTTCATATTAAATTTTGAATATTAAAATTATATTAAATAAAAAAATCATTTTTAAAATATACATTTCAGGTTTAGATTTATTTATTTTTTCTTGCTGAATTGAAGTCTTTTTTGTTTATTCATGATAAAACGGTCGAACAAAGTGAGATTTTCATACATCTTATATTGTCATTATTTTTACTAAAGTTTTATGAAAGGTGGAAGAGCTTTCATATGCTAAAGTTTCTTCTAAACTATCAAAGAACAAGGCAATAAGGGCACTTCATGCCCTCTATTCTAGTAACATTGTAAACTTTTAACTGTTAAATTAAAGTCTCCATTTTAATCATCGTTCTCCAAAAACAATTTTTTTCAGGATTTGTTGTTGTTGAAATTGCTGCAATTTTTCATTTTACCCATTCAAAACTTTTTTTGGGTCATTCGACTTGGCACAAAGAAAAACATGGCCCGATCAATTCGGCCTTTTCGACTTTTATCGCAGACACAGAAAAACAAACAAACACCAGGACAGAAAATTAAAAATAGATTTTCTTAAATAATTTTGGTTATCGTTAAATGATAATGATAATAATGATGAATTTATTATAATTATTTTTGTTATGGTAATAAACGACGACCTTGAATAATGCGATCATGCAAGGTCCATTAAAATAATTTTGATTGATATGAAAGAAGTTTTTGCCGTAAACCCAAGTTTTCCAATCTTTGCAACCAGCGTAACACGTGGATATTTAAAACTTTTTAATCCACCAGAGTTCAACGTTTGAAATATCAAAGGTCTGCAACATCGGATTGCAAAGATATAAATTCCTTGTGACAACCGCAAAAACGCGGACGTAATTTCAATTGATCTACAATTATGGAGATATTATTATTTTTATCTTAATATTGATAATCTCTTATTGCGGTTTTTCAATAAAATTTACTTGTGGATTATTTGAGATTTATAATAAAATTGTAATCAGCTGCGTCATTTTTTTTAACATGCTCAATTAAATAGGATTACTTTAAGTCAATGTTAAGTAAAAAAAAATAAATGATTGAACTTTTTGTTTTAATAAATCTAAGAATGAAAAAAAAATGTTGACTTGAAACGCTCTTCTTGAATTCAAAATCATATTTATTTTAAAATTATATTTATCATAATCATATTTATTACAATAAACAATGAAATTGTATGTTAACATAATTAAATCATAAATAATATCTACTTATTAAAAAATTAAAATTTAAAAAGTTGAAAAATCAATTTTTAAATTATTTTTAATTTGCACTTAAAATTTTGGAGCGAGAAAAATTTGATTTAATGTTTAAATTGTATTTCACTGTTTAATGTAAATAAGTTGAGTCTTTGCCACAAACTCAAATTTTATAATCCCTATATCTTTGCAACCTGCTAGGTGTAAACATTGTTATTTCAAGCTATGAATTTTGTTAGATAAAATAAGTTTGAAATATTAAAGGTTTACATTAAATGGTTGCAAAGATAAAGAATTTAGAAAGATAGAGTTTGTAGCAAAAACTCAATTTCTTTGCATTCAAACTTTTGGATCAACGATACAATTTTTATGTTTAGAGGGACAGAACGGCTATGTATGGCAGTTATATTGAGTATGCAGTATTGTGGACAAATTCTTTAGGATTCATTTGAACATATGACACTTTTTAAAGATATGTAAATCCTGAGTTTGAGTGCAAGTCGACGTTCAAAATCGCACTTTTGGCAAATACGTTTTCAGAATTGTTTTTTTTTTTAATTGTTAAATAACAACGACAAAAATATGTGAACAAAATTCTCCAGTAAACTAATTAGTTGTTTAGGAACGAGGAAACGTTTTATATGAATCCTAAAGACTTTGTCCACAGTTTAACTACCTTACATGGCCGGTCTGTCCCTTCAAATTGTATTACGCTGTTTCTATAATTAAAAATATGAATTTGAGAAAAGTAAAAACTTTTTAAGAAAGATTTTCCGATTTATAAAATATCACTTTTCAGGCTTTTCCTCTTTCCTCCTCTTCCCGACATAATTCATTTTCAGTTCTCAAATATTTTTCAACATTTTCTTGATTTTTCTCCCCTTTTTCTTGATTTTTCTCCTCTTTTTCTTGATTTTTATCCTCTTTTTCTTGATTTTTATCCTCCTTTTCTTGATTTTTATCCTCTTTTTCTTGTATTTCCTTGAGCCTGGCCAGCTCTATGATGGATTGAGCTAGAGCTCTTATATTCCCGGCTCCGAATCCTCTTGAGCCATGGCGTTGAATGGCTTCCAAGAAAAACGTATCTTTGATAAATAATGGATGTGAGAAAATCTGGAGAATATAAAGGGAATTTCCTTTCTCAATTTCACAACCAGGTTCCTGTAGAACAAAGTGTTTACATTTAAAAAAATCAAAATTAGAATTAAAAAACAACCCTAATCCTAATAACTTTGGAACCAGATTTACTCGGCATTCTATATTTACTAATATGTAATTATCGTAAAGTTTGTAATACCATTACATCATAATTGTTTTTATTATAATTTTTAATACCATACCCCCCCCCCACACACCTACAAATCACCTTAGAAAGTTAGAAACTCTTAAGTTACAAGGGGACTCGCTAAGGATGAGACTGTACAGCGTTTATTCTGTCTGTTTCCTTATATTCATGATTCACTGGAATAGTAAACTTGTTCCCCCCCCCCATTATTTAATAAGCAAATTACAGTTTATATTCAAGGCAGAAGACTTAAATCGTGAATTCGTCATATTTTAAGAGTTTTAGGTCGTCTTTACATTGGTAGTCTGTAGTGGGTAACAAAGGGTTAACACAAACATGGCTTCTTCATAACAATACACCCCCCCCTTCTCCCCCAACCTTATTTTTCTAAATGGTGGAGGGGATAGGGGAGGTTTTTGTATGTAAATACTTTCTTTCCTTATCTATAAGAATCCCTAGATCCTGAAAAACTGTTGGATCTGAACCGACAGATATAATATCTTCTTTTTTATTCTCCAGTGTATAATAGGTGGGAGGAGGGGTTCGAAACCTTGCTCCGTGGGTCTTCATGGTAGAGACGGTCTTGATTATATCCTGGGTAAGGAGTCCAATATGCTGGAGGCCAGGTCCATCATGCTCCTGGATGAACTTGTAAACATGACTGTGCTCATGATCAGGAAGGGGTTCGGCAAGAACTAGTTTAAAGTTTCTTGTATCATCTCCGCCCCGTTGTTCCCAGGACACGCCCTCTTCACGACACATCCACTCAGAGAGCCACTCCCCCACCATCATCCTCATCCCGGCCTCGTCCTTTATCTGGATTCCGGCCTCGGGGTCGTCCTCTGCGTTGACCATAAACCTCTCCATCCCACAGCACTGGTTGTACCAGGACAAGATATTTTGACTCCCTCCAACATTACAAACATATGTCACATGATCAATACTCAGATCTACTCCGAGATCAGGTTCTAGCCTATCTCCGGGCCCTACTGGAGTAAATCCTGGTAGAAAGCCCCCTGAGAAACCTTCAGTATTTACAATACTGTGGATTACATTAGGACACGGAGAACTTACAACTGCAACCCTTATTTCTCCGTCTTTACTTCTCACGGTTGTTGGAGAATTATGAGATATGGATCCGTTCTGGATCATTCGTTTATACACGGCATCGACATCTCCAACCTCCAGGCAGATATTAAATACAGAATCCACTGTGTGTATCTTCTCAGCCCGGCATTTACAGCTCAACCAAGGATATTCACTGTTTGAAGTAGTACCCGGAGTCAGTTCAGAGCTAATACAAGCACCTGGAGTTGGTTCAGAGCTTAAACCAGAACCTGGAGTTAGTTCAGAGCTTAAACCAGTATCCGGAGTACATTCAGAGATTAAACCAGTACCCGGAGTAGATTGTGTATTGCAACCTCTCTGACTGATAAGAAACCGTGCTGAACCAGACTCTATCACTGTCTCAGTGTTTGCTCCTACCCTGAGAAAGGTTTGTCTGAACCCGAATGAATTTATCATTTTGTCCAACGTAGCTTGTAGGTCGGAGACACACCATTGTATATGATGAATGTAACCCGGCATTTTTAATGTTTGTAAATATATACTAAAATAGGAAATCCGTTGAATTGTTAGGAAAATCCTTGAAATTGTTTAGAATCTCACAAACTGTTATCTATCACATGCTAACTCTGTCTGTATAAGATATAGTTGTGTAAGTTAGAAGGTTTGCTATATACTGTAGATATATATACTGTACTTTCTCAACTACAGCTGATTGTCATCGAACAGGGATACACATTTTACACTGAAAACGATGACTAACAAAAATGAAAGCTAAAAAAGAAAAAACTTATACAATTGTTAGAAAATAAAGTAAAAAACAGAATGAAAATTTTGACAAAAATGTTAGCAACTAAAAAAATGTAAAATAATTTAGAAAAAAAAGATATAATTTTTTTTATTTTCAACCATTTTAGGATATTTATCATAAAAAATTGAGGAAGTATAGACAGAAAAAAATCTGCATATCTTTAAACCCACACATGACATGATTTAGTTTTGTAAATTATTAAATTGAATAATTATTAAAATCACGCTTTTAGATGATGTCTCATGGGTGGGGGGGGGCAGTAAAGGNTTTTATGCCCTATGCTATAGATAAGCACTGAAAATCATTTATTATTAGTATTATTATTATTATTATTATTGTTATACATTATTAACTAATGTCGATGTTTTATCTTTAATAAGTTCAACCGCAACACAACATTTTGTTGTTATTGTTGTTATTGTTGTTACGTGCACTTGTGACGCATAAATAACAGTAAGAACCTGAAAATTGTGAAATAGGAAGAGTTATGATATAAAATAATCTAGTAAACATATGAAACACGGCAACATTGTTTGCACGAAGTGACAATGAACCCTTTCAGTTCATAAGTGTATTTCCATACCACTGATTCAAGCTAAGAATGCAAATATATCGTCTTCCTATTGCAAATATTTATGGAACTTACATCAATACAGCGTTCTGAGGCCGTTCCTTATATGAACAAGGACCGTCCTAATAACGATAGTTTGACCGCTAGATGTCTCACTCAGATTCTTTATGATAGAGAGATAATCAGGGAAACACTTTATTTGGTCCGACCGTTGTAATGTTTATTTATAATATTCTTACCTCTTCTCTGTCTACTTCTATATTGTTGAAACACAGAATGTACTCATCGTTTATTAATGGTTCGTAATATCCTTCTTCATTCTTGTAGGACACGTACTCATGTACCTAACATACAAATTTGACATACAATCAACAATATCATAAAGCACTGTTTACGATGAAAAAGTGCCTAACTTCGTTAAATGTAAAATTTCTCATTCTAGTGATTTTGCTACTGCTACTGCTACTACTACTGCCACTACTACTACTACTTCTACTACTACTAGTACTACTACTACTACTACTACTACTACTACTACTACTACTACTACTACTACTACTACTACTACTACTACTACTACTACTACTACTACTACTACTACTACTACTACTACTACTACTACTACTACTACTACTACTACTACTACTACTACTACTACTACTACTACTACTACTACTACTACTACTACTACTACTACTACTACTACTACTACTACTACTACTACTACTACTACTACTACTACTACTACTACTACTACTACTACTACTACTACTACTACTACTACTACTACTACTACTACTACTACTACTACTACTACTACTACTACTACTACTACTACTACTACTACTACTACTACTACTACTACTACTACTACTACTACTACTACTACTACTACTACTACTACTACTACTACTACTACTACTACTACTACTACTACTACTACTACTACTACTACTACTACTACTACTANTAATGATAATAATATAATAATAATGAATGTTTTATCACCTCTCAAAATTTTTGAGGAACTGCACACTGAGGGCTATATTGTTAAGCAGGAAGAGAGTTGGATTTGTATCTAGATCCTCCTGCAGATTTCTAAACATTTGGAATAAGAAAATACTTTATTACAATACAGGGGGACTTATAAAATTGTGGGGAAAGAAATCTGCTGAATAAACTTAAGTTATTGTTTTAAAATCAAATGTACATAAAACTCTGAAATTGGAAAACTAGTTTATTTAAAAAACCCTCTCAAACATACGCGCACATGAGATTGCTGAAATACGCAGACATGAGATTGCTTAAATGTTGTTTTTCTATTCTACAGTTGTATTTGTATATACATATATATATATATATATATGTATTTATAAATAAATAATTTCATATTTATATATATATATATATACATAATTATTATTTGTGTCTGTTTGTAAGTCCGTCATAACGTTCGTACCTCTACACCGATTTGCCTCAAATTTTGGATGGGAAAAACCAGGGGAATATTCTCAGTTAGTTTTAACATTTATCCTTGTGTCATGGTTATTGACTAACAGTTCAAGGTTATCCAATTCATCCTTGATCAAACCAAGCTTTAAGCCGCGCACCGATCTCAATCAAACATGCCGCGTAAGGGTCACATAAAAATATGTTTAGTCTAACCGTCGTCTTACTTACTTTAGGTTTGCGGCTTTTTCTGTTTTAACAATTCTTTCCCAATTTAAAACACTAGCATCTTGTACAGCTGGTCTGCTCTCCTTAGATAGATTAATCTTTTAAGAGATTATTTACTTTAATAGAACTAATGTGACTAAAATATGCTCATGAGGGAAATAAAAATCCGATCCTTTGGACAAAATTATTAATTGGAAAAAATTATCATTTGAACAAAATTATTATTTTGACAAAATTATTATTTTGACAAAATTATTATTTTGACAAATATCATTTAAACAAAATTATCATTTAAACAAACTTATCATTTGGACAAAATTGTTATTTTGACAAATATCATTTAAACAAAATTATCATTTGGACAAAATTATCATTTGTAAAAAATTATCATTGGGAGAAAATTGATAAAATTATTCTCAAGACAAAATTATTATTTGGACAATATTATCATTTGGACAAAATCATCATTTGGACAAAATTATTATTTGGACAAAATTATTATTTAGACAAAATTATCGCTTGGAGAAAATTATCATTCGGACAAAACTATTATTTGGACAAAATTATAATTTGGAAAAAATTATCATTTGGACAAAATTATCATGTGGATAAAATTATTGTTTGGACAAAATTATCATTTGGACAAAATTATCATTGGGACAAAATTATCATTGGGACACTATTATCATGTGGACAATATTGTTATATGGACAAAATTATCATTTGGACAAAATTATCATTTGGACAAAATTATCATTTGGACAAAATGATTGTTTTGACAAAACTATTATTTAGACAAAATTATTATTTGTGCCACCCCGGAAAATCTTTGAGCGATAGGAAAGGCTTAAAAAAAATTGAACTCTGCTAGATTAAACGACAAAGTTGGAAATATTGAAGGTTTACACCATTATGTTTCCAAGAAATAGGAATTTGAAAGTTTGAGTTTGAGGCAGGTGGTCGAGCTCGGTGGTCAGTTCCTTTCTTGATGTTATTTTTTATTGATTAAGCTTGATGTGAATGTTTAACATATTTTTATATTTTGAAAGCAGAGGTTTATATCAAATTATCATGTAAGATAGATTGATAATATTTTTTGATAAAGTTGAACTTGACAAAAAGTTTGTCTATCAATTTATTATTGAATGTTACCAACGAAATACGTTTTTGTATCTATTAAATGTTTGAGATTATTTTTACTTTTTGGTCTCGAGGTTTTTTTCATTTCTTTGCAAATAAATTTAAAAATTTTAGTTTCTCGATTGTTTTTTTTTTTTCAGATAATTCCGCCAAACACCTGTCTAAATTGAGCGCCGGCATAAATCTTGAATACGATTAAATTTAAGCGACGGCTTAAATTCTTTAAATTTGGCCTTTAAATTTAACGGCAAATTGCCCATTTATAGACTTTAGTGACCGAAAGCTCATTAAATATAACAATCTAAACGTTTAATTTGGTCTTAATCTTAAATTAATTAAAGAGCGTGACCGGCAAAGTATGGTAGTTGAACTGAGAATGTAGTGATTGGAAGAATTTCTTAAGGATTCATTTAAAACATATATATCTGCCCCCCCCATACCCCTCGGCCTGGGAGTAACATCATACCTTTTCAGAGGATTGACTAGCACCTCTAGCTTGAATTTGTCCTCCAGCCTCCAAAAATTCAATCCCCTGTAGGGTCTGCAAATTAATAAAAAAAAACATTAATATTATTATTTGGCCGCGAGAGAAATATAAAGACTTTTAACACATTATCATAGCAACCACCAAACTTCAAGTAATTGATTATTTCTAAATAACAAAAATCGTTTTTTACTTCATGGTGCCAGCAAATTGGCATCAGGTCAATAAGCGAAATTTTAAAATGCAGAATTTTATTTTTTAACTTCCCTTTTCTCGAGAATTTTTTAAAGCCAAAAAACCTTAAATATGATTAAACGGATAAAACTTTTTATTTTTGTCTGCTGGTTTCATTGTGGTCAAACATTCTGATAAAAAAGTGTGAAAAAAAACAGCTTAAGTATTTTAAATATTTAGTCAAATCAAGTATTTCCTAAAGGCTTTGGACTTCATGTAAAGACGACAGTTTACCTTGCTATCCTTTAAACACACGTTCCCCATCCTAGTTTAGAACATGTTTTGCGGCATTCAACAAAAATCAGATGCGCATCCAAAATGTTGAAACACTGATTAATATTAATTCACGTGTTAACTGTATCAGAGCCAACTAACGACTGGACAAATCAATTCTTAGATTTAATAAACAATTTTTCAACTCAGCAGCTTAGAACGAAAAAATCTAAATTTCAGTGCAAAACTTCAAGCTGAGCTGTGCATTCCATCTGAAAGTATGAGAAAATATTAAACAAACAGGATAATTCCAGTAGAAACTGGTTTAATACAGGGTGTCCCACGAAACATGACAGTTTAGAATGTCTTCTTCCATAATTTGTTAAGTTGTTAAATACTAAAAAAACAATAATAAAAATATTATATAGGAGTCATATTATAGCAAAATAAACTTCAAAGTAAAATATATTTGAGCAAAAGATTTTTTGCAAACTGCAAACAGCCTTTAATATCTACAGTGTATGGAAGACGACATTCAAAACTATTTACCAATTGTCATGTTTCGTGGGACATCCTGTATGTGCTGAAGTAATGTAATTTTGGTATGTAAAGACAAGCAGTATGTGCAAAAATATAAAATTTAAGTGTTTGGCATATTTTCACTTTAATCTCTGTGATCCAGTTACATACGGTTTTATAATGTTGTAACTAAGTAAATTATTTTTTTCTTTTTTATCAAAAACAAAGAAATTAAATTCAACATTACTTTAAAGAGAATGCTGCGGATACCCAAGACGATTCTTAAAGTGTCAACCAATCCCCCTAATTATTGATAATTTATTAGTATTTTTGTTTGTTTGAACATTTTCTGTCAGAATATATAAATAAAATAAAAAAATCATAAAAAGTGTGTTCACTGTATATTAATATTAGACAATGTGAACGTAACAATGAACAAGCAGGAGCAGGGGCATATAAGTATATATTTCGGAGGGGTTTGGGGGGCAACACCCCCCCCCCCCCTACATTCAAAAGTTTACAAAGGGGGACAAATTTAAAACTCTAAGGAAAACAGGGATAACACAGAATGTTTTTGTATTTTTCATCTTCAAAAACGGAAACTTTGATTTCTCAGGATGACACTACCCCCTTTACCCCCCCCCCCCGCTCGATATGCACCCTTGCTCAGGAGCATTATAACAGTTTTAAAAATGGAAACTTTGATTTTTCTGGGTTATTAAATCATTGAGTTTGTTAGTGAACATTTTTCCATCAACATATGATTCTTAATATCTTTGTAATCCAATGCCGTAGACCTTAGATATTTTAAATCATGAATTCTCTTAGATGAAAAAATCTTAGTTTGAAATATCAAAGGTTTACACCATCAGGTGGAAAAAATATAGTTATTAGGAAATAAGAGTTTTTTACAAACACTTAATTCCTTTTGATGATAAATTCGAATAAACATCAGGTAGCAAAGACAAAGGAACAAGGAAATTAGTTTGAAGAAAGAACTTTCTCCTTTTCATTATTTTCTCTTTTGTGTGGAAGTCAGCAATTTTGATAAAAATAGGGATTTTGTCGTAAAATTTTTCTTTTTCTTCCTTCTTTTAGATTAATAATGAACAACCTATTAAGGGGGAGATAATATGAGTTCCCCTAAGGTGTGAAAATAAAGATAAACCT